TTTTTCCATTATCATCATTATTATTATCGTTATTTTTATTATAAAATTTTTGAAAGAAAAAAAACGCGGTATTTCCGTTATTTACGTTAATCCGTTTCTCAGTATAAAATTAACTTTTGAATTATCAACGGGAAAATTAACAACGAAAACGAATTTTCTATTTATAATTTTCCTGCCTATTTTTATAATTTATTTTAATTATTAAATAAGGGTTTGTCTAACGCCACGAAAAAATTATGTGATTAACAATAATTAATTAATAAATAAATAAATAAAAACCGGTAATAAATTACGTAAGTAATACGTACTAAACGATGCAAGGGTTCGTTTACGTAGAAAAAAAAAATCGTTATTATTATCATTATCAATATTATCATTATCATCATTATCATTATTTTTTCTTTTTTTTTAATATATATAAAATCGACTACTTGATACAGCAGCATCCGAAGAAACCAAAAAGATTTAAAATAAGTCTGGAATTTAAAAGGCTTTACTTCAATTAAGAGATGAGATGAGATGAGATGATGATGATGAACTGCCTCCTCGTGGAAAATTCAAGTTAAATTAATTTTCCTTCTTTTTTTCTTTCTCTTCCTTTCCTCCCTCCTACTCCCCCTCTCCCCCCTCATTCTCCTTTCGGTTTCATGTTGATCGTTTTTTAATTGTATAGGAAAAAAAAAAATTTTTTTTTTTTTTTTTCGAATTCGATGTAAAAAATCTGCACGAGACGTTTTCATTCTTTCTTTTTCTTCTTTTTTTTGTTGTGTGTCGAGAAAAATCATTATTATTATTATTATTATTATTATCATCACGATAATAAAAAAAATGTTTTTCCGTTTTTTTTTTTCACTTTTCGCTTTTCGCGTAGGCTTATTAACAATGATCGCAAACAATTTAACAAACGCAACAATTTCAATTGAAATTTTAACTTTTCCGAATAACAAACAAACAAACAAACATAATATTGTTGTTAAAAAAAAAATTATTTTAAATTTTGAATAATGTTTTTTTTTCTCTAGTATATACATAAAAATTTGATTTTGGAAATTTAAATTTTAAATTTCAAATTTTTTTTTACGACTTTTTTAGCCTCGTAAAAAAAATTTATTTTTTTATTGTTATAATATTACGCAAAAATTTGGCGGTTGAAATCGTAAAAAATAATAATAATGATAATAAAAAAAAAACAAGAAAAATCGGTACGAGTTTGAAAATTTGCTGTAGTCAACAGCCACCTCATCGTTCTTTCTTTTAAACAATTTTAAATTATTTACTATAAATAAATAAATATATCGATTAAACTTTTGTGAACTTTGACACGGGATCGATATGTAATTAAAATACAAAAAAAAAAAAAAAAAAATTATTGTGTCAAGTGTTTTGTGAACAAAATGGCGAATTGTTTACATTCGATTTCCTTTCCGGATTATTATAGGATTCATACGAAATCAGGAAATTGAACGCAAATTCGAAACCTATTTTTAGAAATACACTCACGCACGCACGCACGCACGCACACGCACTCACGTTTGAAAATTAATATTTTCTTACGAAAAACATCTATAAAAGAAAAATAAAAATGTCGCGTATAATCAAAAAGAAAAAATAAAATTAAAATGGCGGTTAAAAATACGTATATGCACGTACATATGCACACACGCACGTACACACGCACACATCTTCGCATATATGCATACATACAAATATATATTTGAAATTTATTTTAACTTGTCAAAATTTATTTTTTTTATTTTTCTTTTTATTTACTTTTTTTTTTTTTCCCTCCTTTCTCTATCCCCTCCCCTTCCCTCCCCGTACCTCTTCCTCCCTCCCCTCTTCACAAAACGCCCCCACCTCCCCAACCTACTTGTCTTACCCAGAGTTGCTGTTTTTTTTTTTTTTAAATATTTACTTTGGGCGTTTATTTAGGTTTTTTTTTTGTTTTGGTGTGAAATATTTTAACGTGTAAACTTTTCTTTTTTTTTCGTAATTTAAAAAAAGTATGAAAAAGGAACAACGAGAGTGAAAAAATTTTTTTTTCTCACGTCACGTGATTCGTTCAAAAAAATTTAAATGAAAAAAAAGGAGGGAAACAAAAAAATTTATTTCGTTTGTTTCTTTCCTATTCATTTAATATACGATTTAATATAAAAGTAATAAAAGTGAACAAATAATAATAATAATAATAAATAATACGTCGAAAGAGTAAAAGACAGAACCGTTACGATTTATATTATTATTATTATTATTATTGATTTGTCAAATTTTTTTTTTTTACATGCAAACAAAAATTTTTCATCTCAATCGTGCATAAAATTTTTTTTTATATATAACACAAAACTATTGAGTTTATGAGTTTTCTTTTTTCTTTTCTTCTTTATGGATTTTTTAACCTTTTTTCCTTTCCCCACCTCCCCCTTTCCTTCCCTTTTTCCCTCTTCCTCCCCCTTATTACTTACAAAATAATAATAATAAAAATGTATTATTTTATTTCTCAGCGGTTGGAAACGGTATAAATTTTTTTTAAACAGCAATTCTTCTTCCACGTTTTTTTTTTTTTTGTTCACCTGTTATTTAAAACACGCGGCCAGTTTATATATCAATCTTTTTTCATTTTCTTTTCTTTTTCTTATTTATGTTGTGGAAAAAAAAAAATTTATGTTTTTATTTTTTTTTTTAAATTTTTTACACACGATTAAGTCGTGTTGCGGCGGTGATGATAATAATAATGATAGTAAAACTTACCCAATGAAATGACGACTTGTGATTTAGGTGATGTATACGATGGTCTTTTTATACTTTTTATTCCTCTGTTAAATATTCTCGATATCCTGTTTGTTTTTGTAAATATTGCCGAATAACAAATGGAAAGACAAAGACCCAAACCTATACGAAGTGTCGTACAGGTTATCGTCGAAGGTTCGGCGAGTATGACAAATGACATGAGATAACAGGATAATATACCGCTCAAAAGAACCTAAAAACAAAAAATAAAATAATTTTTTTACCGACGCCATTTTTTTTTCGTTTGTACGAATTTGTCGTCGTTTGTTTTTTTAAAAAAAAAAAGGAATAAACGTTTTTCTTTTTCCCGACGAAATAAATTTATTAACAACTTTTTGAAAAGTTTTTTTTTTACAGATTAACGAATAAATAATAATAATAATAATAATAATAATAATAATAATAATAATAAAATAAATAATTTAGAAGAAAAATAAATGGTTTTTTAATATGGAAAAAGAAAAATCATTTTCAAAAATTTATTTTATTACGAAAACTTTTTTTTGTTAAAAGTTAAACAACAACAACAGCAGCAACAACAACAGCAACGATACAGGAAATTATTTCGTATAACGAATGTGAACGTATCAGGATGAAAAAGTTTAACGAAAATTTCATTCATTCATTCATTCATTCATTTTTTTCCCTCCCATTATTAAATATTTACGACGACGCCGCGTAAAAAAAATAAAAAAATGGCGGGAAATTTTTTTTTTAAATAATAAAAAAATAAATATTAGGAAAAATTATTTGAGGAAAATGTGGTTTAACCAAAAACAATTTTTTGTAAACGGGGGGGAGGGGGGAAAAAAGAAGAGAGACAAAAAAAAAATTAACGTGTAATTAGATTAAATTAAAAAAACACCTTTTAAATAATTTTTTTTATAGAAAGATAATAAATGTTGTTTATTACGTTAATTATATATTCATTAAAATTTTTAATAAATATAATTAAAAAGTTTTTTTTTTTTTTTTTGTTTGTTTTTCATCATCGTGGAATAAGACGAAACGAAAAAAAAAAAATTATAAACGATTACGTCAAAAAATAAATTATTTAATATTTACCTTTTTTTTTTACGTGAAAGGAGTTTAAAAAAAAATTCAATTAAAAATAATTTAGTGTTTTTTTTTTTCGATTAAAATCTAGAAAAAAAAAAATTTAATTTTTTTATTAAACGTAAAAAACCGTTAAACGAATTCATTTCTAGAAGTTTTTTTAAAAAAAAAAAAAAAAATCGAATGAAAAATTAATTGAATTTAAAATGAATTTCATTTACGGGGGTAATTAATCAATCAATTTCAAATGAAAGACACGAAGAATATAAGAGAGTAAAAGAGAAGAGAAAAAGATAAAAGAAGAAATTATATTGATGATGATTACGAGAGGAAAAAAGAGAGAGAGAGAGAGAAAATAAAGCACGGAAAGTCAAACCTAAATCAAAATGAATTAAATTTTATAACACACATTCAACGTACGTTTAAACATTCGATTTCGGGGAAAAAAAACGTTTTTTTTTTTTTTTTCGTCTGCTTCTGATAAATTTTTTTTTTAAATTGTGAAAGATAAATTATACTTCAATTATCTGTTAAGATCAAATTTGTTTTTCAATTTAAATAATAATAATAATAATAAAAAACGAAACATTAAACAATAAATTTTTTTTTTTTTTTAATCGTACGAAAAAAATTTATTTACGAGAAAAAAAAGGAAAAAAAAAAACGGTGGATTCGTTTTATTATTATTACTATCGATTACGTAATAATTTATTACCGATAATCGATAATGTTTTTTTTTTTCAAATAAAATTCAATTATATATAATTATTAATCCCGTTTGAATAATTTCAAAATTTTTATTATTACTCGTTTTAATTTATTTATTATTCGTGTATTGTTGTCGCTTTTTTAATTTCTTATGACGTCACATCATAATAAAAATTCGTCTGCTTGATTTTATTATTATTATTAAAAAAAAAAAATTATTTTAACTTACGTAACAAAGTTCACGACCGGAAGCCATTATTATCGGTGTGTTATTATATTTGATGAAAATACAAAATGTAAAAAGTGTCATTAGAATTCCGATTGTTGAAAAAACCAATGGTACAATTGCCCAAGGACTGTGCCACGCAATGACTTCTGCTTTTAATTTATAACAATCCGTTTTGTTTTCGTTGGGTGCCCAACCAGGTTTACAAGAGAGACAAGAATCGTTAAAAACGTAGGCATCGTCTCTGCAAGAAACGCAACTCCAGCAGCACTGATCCTGGAAAAAAAAAAGAATTAATTAGGGAATGACCTTCGACCTAAAAATAATAAATCGATAATTTAATCTCGGTTAATTAAATACGTAAATGTTGTCAATAATCGGATTACCTCAGCTAATTAAAAAAAATTAATAAATATAAATAAACATTGTAAATTTTTTTTTTGTTTTTATTTAAAATTTTTGAAAAAAAGGAGAAAAAAATGAAAAGGAAGTGGAAGTAGAAAAAATGGAAAAAGTGGTAGGAAAAACAAAATTTTCCTCGTCGTTAATGTAAATTTTTTTTTTGCGAAAGTAAAATATTTCAAATGAGTTTTTTTTTATTAGTGTATTAATTAACTTATTAATTACAACCGTTAAAAATTTTATTAATTAACTTTAATTAATAACATATTATTAAGTTTTTTTTTTCGTGTTCAGACTTTATCGAATGAATAATTAATACGTGGTGTAAATATATACTTTTAATAAATTATATATTTTACTGGAAAATTTTTTTATCAGACGATGTTTACATACTTAACGTGCGTAAGACAAAATTTTTTACACCGTCCATTAATAACTCGTAAAAACAATCAACGTGTCAGCAGGTACAAAATTCGATAAAACAATTGATTTCGAAAAAAAAAACAAGTTAAATTTAACAAAAATTAATAAATTAAATCAATTAAAATTATACGCGTCAAAGTTTAAAAAAATTTAATTAATCGCAACGAAAAAAGAATAAAAATTATGTTAGCGTCAGGTAAATAATTACCGTCAACTTATGTTATTTAAATTCGACCAATCAAAAAAAAAAAAATCAAATTAAAAAAAATTTTAATTGGTCGTCTCCTTATTAACTATAAGTGCCAATGTTTATACCGTCGCAACGCTCTGTCAATTCTCCCTTGTAAAAAAAAAAAAAATTAATCATTTGAAAAATCGTTTTTTTTCCCGATAAGTAATAATAAATTTACTAGAAACTAGATAAAATAATATATTATATAATAAAATTGAGAATATGTTATATATATATATATATATATATATATATATATATATATATTTTAATTTTCTTATTTCCTCTTGAATTAAATGAACTATTTTGAAAAAAAAAAAACATTTTCTTTTATTTTCCGGAAATAATTTATATATAAACGTTAAAGAAATTTACAAAAATGTATATTTAAATATAATAATAATATCGATAAAATGTAAACATGTAAAATATAATTATTATCGCGCCTGAAAAAATTACGTTAAATTTTTCCAAAAAAAAATGGCGGAAACTAGTTAAGATTTTCCAATATTATATAAATAATTAATTGATTGTATTGTACGGCGTTTATAAAATTATTTTTAAAAATAAATAAAATAATATTTGAATAAAATTTATTATCACCTTTACACAGAGGTGCCATCATTTTATTTTATTTATTATCCTTTTAAATATTTTTTAAATTTCCTTCCTTCCTTCCTTTCCTTTTTCCTTCCTTTTTTCCTTTCTTTTTGTTATTTTTTCATTTTTTTTTTTTTTTAATATTATCGACATATTAAAGGTAAATATTATTTTTTTTTAGGGAAAATGTTTCGTTTTTTTTACAGGTTTATGCGAATTCAATAAATATTGCAATTCAGAGGGAGAGGAGGAAAAAATAAACGAAAACGAAGAAAATCAATAGAAGGGGAGAAGCGGGGGGGGAGAGAGCGGTGAAAAAAATGCAGCAAAAAAAA